TTGTCAACAGTCTTGAGCATCCGACGAGAGGCCGTGATAAAGTGTCGATTTTATTGTATTTTCCTATTTATATGCTACGCCTTATTAAAATCCGCAATGTTTGAGGAAAGGCGTAAATCTGTTTATTAAATAAGCAGTCTAGGTGTTGAATTGATTGATGGCCTTTGGTTTTATTTGCAGGGTGTAGTATCCTCTTACACATCCGATCGATTGCAGTGATTGGATTAAATGGAATGATTAGGACGTCAATGCAACAAAAGTAATTTAATTTAAAGAATAGAAAACAATTAAAATATTTTGTAATGAATGCAAGACTTCCCTTTCTTCTTTCTAACTTTACGGTAAATCACTTTTTTTAATGGGTTTTAATGTAAATAAATTCAATTTACCCATCACACATATTGATTTGACTAAATTATAAAGAATATAGAAACATTTTTGGAGTTGTCTTTTTAATCATTCGTTTTATTTTGATAAAGTTATTTGTTTCGAAAAATGAGTCAATGTATTAAACTTATAAAATAAATTTTTTTTGGCTTATTTTTTTGTTAAATTATGAAATATAACTAAAAACAAGAAAGGAAGCTAACTTCGGCCTGCCGAAGCTTATATACCCTTGCAGATAAAGTAATGCTCACACGGTGCAGTTCCAGGGATTCCAGATTCAGCGTATCTATTTTAATTTTGCTTATACATAAGTAGTCAAGAATCAAAACGCCTACTTCCTACAAAGTTACAATGAATTTTCTTATATTTGTTTGAATACTCCTATGGAAGCCTTAAGGTATAGTGGTCCGATCCGGCTCGCTCCGACATATGTACTACCTGCAATAGAAAGAAGACTTTCGGGAAAGTTTCATCGCGATAGCTTTAAAACTGAGAGACTAGTTCGCATAGAAACGGACAGACGGACATGGCTAGATAGACTCGGCTATTGGTGCTGATCAAGAATATATATACTTTATGTGGTCGGAAACGTCTCCTTCACTGCGCTGCAAACATCTGACTGAAATTATAATATAACAAAATCTTTAGGGAGATCTAAAAATCTGAATGAAAACTGTGCTATTTGCTGCGGCTTTGATTCCTTACATATGGGACGTTCCATATCAACCCGGCCACCCCCTTTTTTGATTTTTTTTTCTATGTGGACAGTACCACATTGATTGCAAAGCCCCTTGCTTTCAATAGTTTACCTTATACCTATTTTGTCAATGTTACCACTCTTTCGCCGTATAATCGCGTTGAAAAGAAAACACAAAATCATTTTTATCCTGCGAACGGAAGAAACAATTGGCATGGTTCAAAATCAGAAAAATCTGTCTTTCCATGGCCGATTACGAGAAAAAAAATAAATTTTATTAGACCGTAGATGACCAAGCGATAGCGTTTTTAAAGTCTAAAAGTGGGATTTCGTCCAAAGGGCCAGTCTGCAAAAATACCATTATATTTTTCTCAGAAAGCCCCATATTTAACGGATTTTATGCCGCTGGTTTCAAAGTGGGATCTATCTTGTGGAATTATCTATGAATTATTTTCATTGATTTATTAATTTTTTCCAAAGCATATACGATTATTTTAAATTACTTATTAGTTCTTTCTGACAGTTAACTACACTAAAAACGAACAAAAGTATTCATAGCTAATTACTCAAGAGAGATCCCACTTTGGAACCAGTGGCAAAAAATCCCATAAATCTGGGGCCTTTTGAGAAAAATATAATGGTATTTTTGCAGACTGGCCCTTTAGACGAAGTCCTACTTTTAGACTTAAAAAACGCTATCGTTTGGTCATCTACGGTCTAATAAAATCAATTTTTTTTCTCGTAATCGGCCATGGAAAGACAGATTTTTCTGCTTTTGAACCATGCCGATTGTGTCTTTCGTTCGCAGGTTAAAAATGATTTTGTGTTTTCTTTTCAGCGCGAATATACGGCGAAAGAGTGGTAAGATTGACAAAATGGGTATGAGGTAAAATATTGGAAGCAAGGGGCTTTGCAATCAATATGGTACTGTCCACATAGAAAAAAAATCAAAAAAGGGGGTGGCCGGGTTGATATGGAACGTCCCATATACTTAATAGTTTAAAGTTGGAAGATCGAAACCCTTTGCCTCAGTGGAGTCCATTTTACAGTAGACATCCATCCGTAGGGCGACTTTCCTGTCATCTGCATTGTAAACGGTCCGCCTTCTTGCGCTTTCGTGTGTCCTTCCCCCAATTCTTCCCCCTGCTCAACCGATTCTTCTCATCACGCTGCCACGCCCACCGCTTGCTGCACGCCCACTCGTGACGTCATTTGTCAAATTTTCGGCATTACCCGGCCAAAAAGACATGGCCATGGCCAAACATTGTGCCAGTTGTCGGCCCCGCCCACTCGACCCCACCACCCCGCCCCCCAGGACATCCGGCGGCTCATCGCAGTCCTTGTGGCTAATATTGACATTCCTAATCTGTGCTCCGCTGCGGTGGCCGTTAAAATGCCGTGTCACTTCGTTAGTATGCGTGTGTGGTGCCATTTGTATCTGGATATCTGAGTATCTGCGTATCCTTGTATTCTTGTATCCTGGATATCCATGCTTCCCCCGGCCGCGTGTGTATTTGTCTTGAGGTCGCGTTTGGTTCGGTTTTGGGTGTGTTTTGTTTTTGATTCATGCCCCGCTATCAGCACTGGGCGTGTTCCCAAACTGGTTCATTTATATTTGATGATGACATTGCCGACATTGGTCGAGCAATCAAACTCCCAGCTCCAGTTTATTAGTTTAAGTAGCTCCATTCTGGGAGTGATTAGTGCAGGGCGGAGTGCGTTGTGGTCGACAGCTGGAGTGAAGCCTGTAACCGCACAGAGGAAACAGTTTTGGCACTAAAAGGGAATCATTGTCTTCCCTTAAAACTGCTCTTCAACTTGAGGTTCCTTTTAAATGATAAAATTTGCATAAATTAATATATAAATATTGTTTAAACCTTTTTAAGTATTTTCTATCAAATTATTATCAGTATAATTTAAATATAGGTGTCCTAAATATGTTTCTATAATTAAAATACAATTGATTGCCCCTTTTACGTAATTTCAAACCACTAGAGATTTGCTATCATAATTTTTCGCTAGTGCACGGACACACTCAAAGTGCTGGCCACTGCAGTTTGAATCGCTTTTTAACAACGCTGCAATTTCTGTACCCATTTTGTGGCTGGTGATGATGAGCCACATGGGTGGTGCATCGACGGGGGGTGGTGCTAGATTGGTGCCGGGTTCAACGTTGTCTCGGACGTCATGTTGTTACAGTTACTTTCTTGCAGCGCACTCTCAACTTGATTTCTGCTCGTTTTTTGCTTTTGCAAATTGTTAGAGGGAACGCCCGCGGAGTGCAGCACCACCTAACCTCCCCGCCATCCGACCACAAGCCCCACTGCTAACTCAACCTGGCTAAAGTGCAGCACAGACAAAAAGAAATCAGAAAAAAAATGGAAAAACAGGAGGAAGAAAAACTAGAAGCGACAGGAAGAAGGAGACCAAAAACAGAAGCCGGGAGCTGAGCAAGAAGACAGGACTCTGGGCCAAAGCGATTTGCCTTGCCAAAAGCTGCACGACCAACTTTGTAGTAACATCTAAACCTCCCCTCTCACTCACTATCTCCGTCTCTATCTGTGCGAGTGAGTGCGACAGCACAAGTGTTTTAATTTTACGACATTGTATGAATTTTACTGCTGGCACTGCAGAAACATCAGCACCGCTGTTACATATCGTTAGCTTCCTTAACGGACATATCCCACATCGCCTCCGCCACACAGCCCCTCTTCATAAAGGGGGTTTCGAGGGGGGTTTGTCTGTACCGTGCTCATAAATTGCAGCTTGCAAGCGTCAGTGCAATCAGCGTCATCAGCTTCATCCGGTTTATTCGAGGGTCCCTCGAACCGTGGGTCCTCCCTCGCTGATCCCGTCAAGAACCACGCCCCCTGCCGCCCTCTTGGCTTTTCCCATCCAACCGTGGCAGCCTCTGAACTTAGCCGAGGTCTCTGGGGTTTACTTAGCTTGTGGGTAATTTTTTAAAAATTATACAAATTAAAATTGGTGGGGCTCTGCGATGGGCCCACTGTGCCTTAACTGCCGTCACTTAACGTTAACAGTTTACGCTTGCCTGCGGGCTAAAAAGGCTGGCGTTGCACTACACACACGCAGACAGCCAGCAGCTAACACACACGAGTGCACTGCGGGGAAATTTTGAGTATTTTGGGAATTTAAGAGAGAGAAAAGCTCAGCAAAAATCACAATAAAACACTTTGTTGTTGTAACCATGATTTAAAAGGAATAGAAACTAAAAAAATATTTTTAATAACCAGTGGTTTTATTATTGAGTTAGCAGTTAACTTAAATTAAACTATTTTTGTAATAGCTTTTAAAATGTATTGTATTTATTTTTATTATTTTAATTAAATTTATTTATCAATTTATTTTTCATTTTAAAAGTGTATACGCCTGTTTAAAACCCATTTCTTTGAGTGCACCTACATATGCAAGCCTGAGGCTGCTTGCTCGTCCTTGTCTCGCCATCATTTTCGGTGCTGGGTGCTCGACGGCTGCTGCTTCTGCTGCACTAACTGCGTAAAGTTGGCACTTGAAACTGTCAGCTTAAAAATGCCAGCTGCACACACACAGACTCGCACATCTGGAGGCGGGGGAAGGAGAATAAGGGGCCATGCATGTAGTACATAAAATGCACAAAATGGTCGAACGACTCATGGCGAAAGTTGGTGGCCATAAGTTACAGGAACTTGGGTGGAAGACGGGCGGGCTCGAAGGTCGAAGCCTCAAGTCCCCGGGCTCCGGGCTCCCGGCTCCCGGTCGTCTAAAGGGTCATAACTTTCGGTGTAACCCGCGTAAAGTCTAGGATAAAATGCATATTTAAATACCGCCCAACTTAACCTTTCCGCTCATTACTCTCCGCCACTATATGCATATATATGTGTTAACCCGTTTTTCGTTTTTTTTGGCCCCGTTGCAGATGGTGACGAGAACGAAGAAAATCTTTGTGGGCGGCCTCTCGGCGCCCACCACACTGGAGGATGTCAAAAGTTACTTCGAACAGTTTGGTCCGGTAAGTGGAGAACTCCTACTATATACTATATAACCCCGTGATATCCATAACTACATACATTTATCGAAACGGGAGCCAGTCACATGCCAAAATGCTAAACGAAATGTAGCAAAATAATAATCATAAAAAATCAGAATGACAGGCAGTGGAGCAAATCATGCAATCTATTCGCACTGCGCGTGTTTCCCCAACAATGTTCGGGTAAATTTGTATATATATTTCTCTTTTTTCTTGCCGTAAGCAGTGACACCTTCACTGGCTGCCACTTGCTACGTTTTGTTTGATCAATAAAAACGCCAAAAAAAAAAAATGAAAGAATTCGAAGCCAGCAAATGAAAGAGAAAAACCTCTAAAAAAATTCGAACCAAATTCAATCTTGACAAGTACTGCAAAGCCCAGCACTCCATTCCGCCCCCCAAAAAAACTCCACTTAAACACACACACACATATGCATATCGAGTGTGCAGCTGTGTGAGTGTGTTTGCGGCTGAGTGCCGTTCGAGTGCTCTTTAAGTTCTCCATTCAGCCATGTTGGGCAAAAGGCCGAAACGGGGGCCTCGCCAGACTTGTTATAGCGCAAAAAACAAATTTTTAGCACGAGCACTGAAATCCTGTGTTGTTGATTACGATACTAAACGAAAATCGATTTGTTAGACGCTCTTCTGCCTTCCCGCCGCCGATTTTAATGAGCGACTCTCCCGATCCTGTCGAAGCGCAAAAAAAGCCCCAAACACGAATTTTTCATTAACGATGTGCTATCGGATGGTAAGGGGATTTTACAAGAGGATAGAACATGTCGAGAAGAGTTTAAGAATTAAATGGTTGCTGCCAGGTAGATATGGAAAGCGTTGAAGTGAAGAGGAAAAAGTGAAAAAAAGGGGAAGAACAAATTAAAGGATGTAGAATTTAAAAAATAATCGATGTTACTTTAAAAATATTTGTGACAAATTTGAATGTGAAAAAAGTAGCTGTATCGGATAACAGCTAAAAATGCCATTATTTGTTTTTCCCCAGCAAATTACGCAGCCAGGTCTCGAGGGGATTTTTGACGATTTTTCTCGATTTCCCGCAACCCATGCGAAAAGTCCCCCAAACGAAATTCAACTCCGCAGGTAAAGCTTCCGATAATTGACATAAATTGGCGCTACTTTTTGTCAGCTCCTCGCCGCAAGACGTCAACTGCCATTTGCAATGCTCCATTGCCCCGCCCACTAAAGCTATATATACCTATATATATATATATAGCGATAGCACTTGATAATGCGAATATAATGACGAGTGGGGGAGGAGCATCCATAAACGGCCATCAATCAAATCAGCGCTGGGTAACGAAATGCTTTTAAGTAATTTTCATCATGCCCGGCCAAACTGTCAAAATCCATAACGATCAAATAGTGAAGATATGAAAATATATATAGACATGTTATATTGCATGGTATTGTATGGCAAAAGGTGAAACAAAAGACGGCGGGGCGATTTAACCAAGCGCGAATTCTTAATGGAAAACTTTTCAATTAATCCGCATTGGCAAAGGAAATTATAATAATAACTTGGCTGCGAGTGTATAAGCCCGCCCATAAGCTGTGCGGAGAAACTTTCGACAGGCAAACAAAACAGAAGCCCAAGACCAGTTTTCCCTTTCCCTTCCCTTTGGCCAAGTTATTGATTACAACTAATCCCCTTTGGCTTTTCCCTGCCGCCTCATTGGGCAGCTGGGAAAAGCCGGGGAAAATCTGATGGGTGGGTGGTTAGAGAGGGTAGACAGATTTTCGCCAGGTCCATAAACAAAATAGCAAAATGGCAAACGGCGGCTTAGTTTACCTCCCAGTTTTCCACCGGCTCTCCCCTGTTTTTGGCGGCAGGTGACCAGCGAGGCGTTAATGACTTTAGCGGCCATTTTTCTTCCGCTTTCGGATGAGATGAGCGCGGAGAGATTGCTCCTGGCAAGATTGATTAGCCGGACAAGTCGGGGCGCGCCATTCAATATGATTAATAGTTGCATGCGTAGCACCCACAACAACATATCCCGATCCCTATATAAAGCTAGACCCCTGCTCCATATATAAAGCAGATAGAAATTTATGACGCAGTCCTGCCAGCCAATTCCGTGTTGCCAGGCCAACCTTTTTTATGTCAGTTTGCAGCGAATACCATTTTCTGTTTATTGTATCTTTTCAAGTGCCGTTTTCAAATGTTTTCATTGTTGTTTAGCTGCATTTCCATTTTCATTTTGCAGTGCACAAATACCACTTTCGGATGCCCTTCAAAAATGTATGCTCTTGAATTTGCATTTCGCAATAGAAAAAGGCTCTCAATTAAAACTGGGAACTTTATATAACTATATGGTTTTTAGATATCTGTAGCACAGTTTTTCTGAAGAAAGAATTTCGGAAATTCAAATCAGCACTCTTAAAATATTAAAATCCCTATAAAAAGAACAACAGCTCTTAAAGCCCCACCAAAAATGACCCTTTAAATGCAAATCAGAAAACTATTTCCTAAATGCGAAAACAAATCAAAAGAACTAAGAACTGAGCAAAAAAAAACCAACAGGATAAGCAAAACACAACGGCTGAAATTCAAATTTTTCCTGCGCAGGTTTTCCCTGCAAATGTTCTATTTAACAAGCACACACACATGCAAAAGGGGGCTGCGAGGTGGAAATGTAGAAAAGTGCCACCCAGCTGACCTCAGATGCTGCAACCTTTGGCCACTGATTTTATTGCAACTGATGCAGATGCTGCTGCTGCTGCTGCAAGCTCGGCGATAACGAAAATTCCACATTCGAAAGGAAGGGAAAATGGGAGGAAAAAGGGAGTGGGAATCAAAACAGAAACGTAAAGCTCGTTGGCTAAAAAATTGCAAATAAACTACACATTTTGTAAAGTCCCTCCGCATGGAAATTGCCCGGCCAACTATCAGGATCTGGCAGCCAAGTCCGGTCTCCTTTGGACTGGCTTTTAAAGGTGTTTACGGTGTTTGCATTGCCAGATATCCCCCTCCCCTTACCCCCTTCCCAAGCACCGCAAAGGTTAGTAAATTTAAGCGCTTTTCATAAGCATTTTATGGGGGCCAGGACCCCGAATCTCGCCAGGCAAATGGCAAAAAGTGCACCTTCTCCCGGGAAATGGGCAAAACTGTTGGCCAGGGCACTCAAATGTCAGATAACTCTCTTTCTGCCCCTGGAGACCCGCCCACTTCGGTATTAATTATGACAAATCATGCAAAGCAAAGCCAAAACGAAAACAACAGCACAGAAAAAACCCCAACTAATTTCATTAAAAAACAATTTTTTATGATTTAATTATGGAAAGGCAAGCGAGCGAGAGCTGGAATACACTGGCGCAAAAAATAACAAAAAGCCACTCGAGATTAAGTGTGATGAATAATATTATTGCAACGCTTGTAGCGTAACAATCATAATAATAGAAAAAGTTTTGGTTGAATGGCGGCATAAAGTCGTGTGCCACACAAATCTAGGAAAGAATACAAAAAGTGTTTAAATTAAAGCGGAAAATAAGGCTGTTAAATAAAATAAGTAATAAGAAGCCAAAATGTAATCTATAGATTTGAAAAATCAAAATATGATGTCATAGTAAGCCACATTTATTTATTCAAAATTTATTTATCAGGCATTTAATCAATTTTATGCAATTGCATATATATAGAAAAAATAAATTCAATATTTCCGTAAGACTTTAATATTTGCCTAAGTTTGCCTAGTTTAAATATAAATCTCTGCCACCCCAGCAAAGCGTGATTAATTAAGCTAGATGATTCGATACTCTGGTGCTATAAGGCCCATTATTTGGTAATATTTTTCCCAGTGCTCGGCTCTGTACGTGAATAAGAATCCGAGTGAGTCCTGGCTGCTGCTCCTGATTCTGTCAGAGTTCACCTGGCTGTCATAACTGTGGGCAATTTTTGAGGCGTTCTGAATGAAGTGTCTCGCCCTTTCTCCTTCCCTCCACGTCTAGCTGTCTCTTTCGGGGAAATGTGGGGCTTGAGGGGCATAAATTATGATGCGCAAATCTTCAGCTAGCTGAATGTAAATGTAAATGAAGGCACGCCAGTGCTTCTGTATGGGTGAGTGTGTGTGTTTGAGCCGACTGTGTGTGTGTGTGTGAGTGAGTGCACGATGAGTGGCAGATTTGCATAATCCTTAGCAAAAGGTTTCATGACAACGCTGCTCGAAATGTCAATGTGGGCGGATGATGTGCCACCGGCCCCCTTGACAAACAGCAGGCCCAAACTCAACTCAAACCCAGAGCCCGCAACAGAAACAGAGCCACCCTAGAACCTTTCAAACCACTCTAAACCGGCCCAATCATCTATAAGCTGCGCACAGTGGGGTAACAGAGGCCGATTTTGCGAATTAATGTTAAAATCAAATCTCAAAAATCTCTAAAAGTAATGATGGCAGTTTATGGTACATTGAATGACCTTTCATAATCTAAAACTCAAATCGCATTTAGTTTTATCAAACTAGAGTTATCCTTTCTTAAAGTTACACTTTGATTCACATTTCATCAAGACTATCCAAATTGTACTTTTTCTTCATTTTTAAAAAAATATTAAACTAACATTCTTTAATGTACCAAAAAACTGAAAATGCCATTGTTTTCTTTTAAATCTTAACTAATTTTTCACTTAAAAACAAAAATGTAGAATTCATATATTATATTTTTAATAAATATTTTTCATACACCTTAAATTTAACCTGATTCTGAGAAATCTTTAAAGATTTCTCAAAAGAGCCGGGTTTCGCCGTTTTCATATTTTACTGAAAATTTCTCTGATATATAAACTTTCAAATGTGCAAAAATAGAGGTGCTGTTTTGTGCTTTTTTTGAGAAAAGTTAATAACAGTAACCTAACCTCAAAAATTAAAAATTTTTCAGAAACGGTTTTATTAGTACGTTTGCCTTTCCTGGGCATATTTTAAGGAAGTAAAATACACTTTTACTAACTTTAAGGCAGCAGAGTTGGAATCTTTTGTT